CCTCCCCTTCTCCTTTTTTCCCCCTTCTTTCTTTCTGTTTTTCAGATAGGGTCTTGCTATGTAGCCCAGCTTGGCCTGGAACTCATGATGTTCCTACAGTCACAGGCACGCCTCACCATGCCCCACCATGCCCCACCTAGTTCTATATTTTTTATTTTTGTTTTTAAGTTTTATTCATTTTAATGAGAAATAAAAGATAGACTAGCAATGAAACAGTTTCAATACAGATTAGTAGGATGCTTATAATAATTAATATGTTGTATATTTTGTCTTTATAGCAGTAATTCAGAGGACAAGATGCAGATGTATCTTGACTAAACAATATTAGTATAAACTTTTAGTCTCAGTGAACTAAGGGAAAGTAGCTGTATATCTATCCTAACTCTCTTGTGTAAGTTCCATATTTTTTAAATACAGGTTGAGCAGGGGAGATAGCTCAGCAGCATACACACACACACACACACACACACACACACACACACACACACCCCAGACTGAGCATCTGAATCTGAAAATCTAAAACCTCAAATTCTACAAGCCTGAAACTTTTTGAGCAGTAACTTGATGTTATAAGTGAAAAATTTCACACCTGACCTTATGTGATAGTTCACAGCCAAATGCATGTGTGCTGCAAGTACTGCGTTTACCTTTAGGTCACGGGAATACGGTGTATTGTAAGTGGGTGAAATTTCTTATTTAGATTTTAGTCCCATTTCCAAAATATAACATTATGTATATGCAAATATTAAAAATGGGCAAACATGCAAAACATTAAATACATTTGGTTGTAAACATTTAGAATAAGAGCAATTCCACCTATAAGCCCTCTTGATTTATCATAAATAATTGCTATGGATTTGGGCTGATGGGCAGGGTGGATGGACTGAAGCCACAAATTCAGTCAGGCCCTCATGCATTATTTTGGAAGAGTTACCGAGTAACCAGTCTTTAAAAATCAGAGCACCATGTTCCATTATATTTATAATGAAGAAATTCTGCTAGTCCAGCAGTAAATGAATAATGTGGCAACTTTTGTAAATTTATAAGGTAATTTATTTTCTCCAATTTTACAGAAAAATTGCTTCCTAAACTTGCTTTTGTAAAGAAAACTTATGACTAATGTATCAGTGCACATGGTAGTTAGCAAGGTATGATTTTTGTTCTGTAATTTCTATTGTTGAAAAAGCCATTTTAGGGCCGGGGCGATAGCTCAGTAGAATAAGTGTTTGCCTGGAAAGTGTAAGGTCCTGGGTTCAATCCCCAGTATCCAAAAAAAAAAAAGTCTTATTAGTTACAAATTTTGTACAGCTATATTATCACATAATCAAAATATTTCTGGAGTTTCATCAGGTATTGATTAACGCACCAATTAATGCCTCATTGTGAGACTTTAATATTTGGTGATCTAAAATATTTTTGTAATTTTGCTCCTTGTTTTCTTTTTAAAGCTTATCAGAGATAAAAGACTCGATAAAATTTAACTGTAAGCTGTGATTAATTCCAGAATATTATATTTGCTATGATATATAGTCACCTGATTTCAATCATTAGGATAGTGTACCACTCTGACTCCTTCCAAAATATGATGAGAGTTCAGCCAACACATCTTAGGGAGAAAAAGGTTAAATTCCAATGTTTAAATGCTTTATTTATGTCTGACTTCCCTTTTTATAAAAACTTTTTTAAAGTTTTTCATGTACCTGTATGACAGGACTACTTAATACCATCAAGTATCTTCATGATTAATGTGAGTCCGTTACTGGAAACATCTAAGATGTGATTTAGCCTACGACACGACAGGTCATTTGTCTGTTCCTGTGCTCAAGAAGGTATTCCTAGAAGAAATACCCTACCGACATGCATAACAGTACCATGAGCCTTGTACTCTCTGGGATCTCTCCTCGCCAGTATTTTAGGTGTAAACTTTGTTCTATCATTTTGAAGCCAGTAGAAGAGCTTCATGTTCCAATGTCTAATGTAGGAGTCAGTTTCTTTTTTATTTAACAGGACATGGTGTTTCTTAGGAGTAGGTTTTGTTCCATTTCTAATTCTCCTATGGAAGCTGTATAGCATCTGCAGGCAGAAGACACTAAAATATGCATTTATATTCAGAAATATAGAAGGAAAGTGAAAAGTATTCTCTCTCAAGGTATTTGGTAAGTTATAACTGAATAAGGTTTTAAATTTTTGGGAAGGAGAAATGACATTTATAAGTAATTTAGCACAATGTTCATGGTATGTAAGAAAAATAGAAGATATTAAAAATTATTTAATTTTATTTGGGCTACTAATTTTTTTAACTTCTGTGGAAGCAAATGAAGAAAATGTGGATTTACTTTTAAAGTCTCATAATTATTTAATGGTGAGATTGGATCTACTTTAGGATCAAAATCTATAGGTTTGAAATCTATATAATTGGCATAACTAATAATATGAAACTCTTTTCTTAAAGGTTTTCTTTTTTTTAGACAGGGTCTCACTATGCAGTTCAGGCTGGCGTTGTGCTCACTTTTGTAGCCTCTAGGCTGGTCTCAAATTCACAGAGATCCTCCTGGCTCAACTTCCCAGGTGTTGGGACTATAGGCATGCACCATCATGCCTGAGATGGTATGCCCAGGTATCAAGGGCTGAGATTGCGTATTATGTGAGGCCAGGGATTGAACTCACATCCTTCTGCTTGCCAGGTAGGTTCCCATGCCCCTGAGCTATCTCTCTGGCCCTCTGATAGTTTTGAATGCCCTGAAATAAGTCTATTTAAGTCACTTGATGATGAAAGGAAGTTTAAATTGTTGTTGTTTTTTTTTTTTTTGAAAAGAGGTTCAATTCTTAAATATTAAGTTAATTAAGGTGTATAATAATGAGGTCACTAAGTTCAGATCAAAAACACATAAAATAAATTCTTTACAGAATGTATTGTCAGAGATAAGTTCCATAACACAATAGCCAACTTTTTATTTAAAGCATGCCACCCACCTGTGGGCATGCACAATCCCTAAAAATCTCCAAAACTACTGAGTTTCTATGCTTAATCATTATTGTTCATGAAGCACACAGATTTTAAATTTTTAATCATTTTCTTACCAGTCTGGAGTGTATTTCTTTGGCATACAATGGGAATAAAAATTCTGATTCTCCTTCTAGGCGAAGTCCATCTTTTGTCACATACAAGTGACCCATCCCTGTCTTTAGAAAAAAAGGAAACAATAACAATATTTTATTTTCTTCTTTCATTTTTCTTAGTATCTATTTCATTATGCATCTATTTCTATACATTTTCTTGTACACTTTGGGATTTTTCCTAAATGCCTTTTTAAAAAATTTAATCACTTTTATCCAATATTCCTCCTTTAAAAACTCTTGTGTAAATACAAAAAAAAAACTATTTGGAAGATACATACTAGTTAATCACTCTTACAATAAACATTTGAGTCTCCATAATCAAATAAAAATCTCTTACCATTACTATTTGAACAAATTAAATAAGAATATAATAAAATATATCATTGTGAGGTCTGTATTTCTATGAGTTTTAATACATCTGTATAACCCAAACCATAATTAGGATACAGGATAGTTTCATCATGCCCATGTTAGTCAACTGTCACTGAGAAAAAGCATCTGATGCCCACAATTTAAAGGAGGAATGTTTAACTCAGCTACTGGTTTCAGGGGATGCAGTGCATGGTCACCGGGCTCCAAGGTGGAAACCTGGTGGTAGAAGGGTGCAAAGGACCACTGCTGCTCAGTGCATGGAGGTGAGGAGACAGCAAGGGACAGTGCCTGAGAAGAATCAGTGAGGATCCACATGCAGAAACTGAGGTGGTGAACTCCTCTAGAGGTGTGCTTTATTCATTGTCAAGGCATTTCTGAAGCTAGTAAAGTTGACACATGAGGATTCATGGTCATGATACTCTGGAATAGCACCATCAAGTGCAGCATCTGAGTTCACTGTGTAACACATCTTTACTGAGAACTTTTAAATTGAGAATCCCCCAAGGAGGATGGAGTCTTTTTGAATTGTTGGCAGGCATGTAAATTTACATAGCCCCCATGGAAATCAGTGATAAGGAATTGTTGCAGAGTTTCAGTTTTACAGACAAGTGTGTACTGGAGATGGGTGGTAGTGATGGTTGTATAACTTTATGAATGTGCCTTTAGCCTGTACCTTTAAAATACTTGTTAATGCAGTTAATGTAGTAGAAATGAAAAATTGATTGTGTGCCCCTTCCACTCCCATGTTGCCCCTTCTGCCATCTCTTGGTCCTCTTTCCACTTACAAAAGATCCTATTCAAGTGTCATACCCTACTAACAAGACAATAATTATTTTCACACTTATTTTTATTTTCATACATAGATATAGCAAAGCTTGCTCATATCCATCCCCTCTATTGTCCTTCCCCATATCCTTTCCCTTCTCTCCATTAGTCCATTTCTCTTGTCAAAGAGTAGTCTCTCTCCTATTTTTAATGTCAACTTTTTCTTTCCCTTTTATTCTACATACTAGGGAAATGTGACAGTTGTATATCTGCATTTGGTTCATTCCACTTAACATAATGATCTCAGTTACCACTCATTTTCCTACAAATGACATCATTCTTCTTTGTGGTCAAATGATGCTTTTCTGTGCATACAAACCACATGTCCTTTACCCACTCAGTTGACGGGCACTGCAGCTGGTTTCATACCTTGGCCACTGTGACTTGTGCTGCAGTCAGCATGAGTATGCTGGTATTCCCAGCGTGTGGAGTCTGTACGAAGGGGTGGTACAACTGGGTCTAACAGCAGCTCTAATTTATTTTTCTGAGGAACCTCTGTACTGATCTGCATGGTGGCTGTACTGATTTGCAGGCCTGCCAGCAGTGTAGAAAGCCTCCTGCCATTCTCTCCAACAAGTGTTTTGTATTCTTGGTGATAGCCGCTCTGATGGTGCGGAGAAAGAATCTCAGTGTAGGTTTGATTTGCAGTTCTCTAGTAGCTGCATGTGTTGAACTTTTTTTTCATATGATTTTGGCCATTGATTTATGAATTTCTGACAGTAATCCTGGATATATCAATTTACCTGAAAATCCTACACTATTCTTTTCATGCCAATCTAATATTAAATCTTTGTTACTTTTTTCTTGGTTTTTGCATATATACATGCATATTTAAGAAACCTATCTTTCATTTATACTAATGTTCTAACATCATAAAATATTCAGTTGGTACCTAGTTGAGTGCAAGACATGTGATATGTTTAGGAACTCAAAACAAGTACAATATTCTACTGGCCCTTAAATTTCTCTGAAAAAATAGAAAACATTTGTAGAA